ATTTTATACTCAAAAAACCAAAATGAGTGAAAACGGCCTATTTTAGCTTTAGGTTCTAAAGGGTTAAGAGACTGTTGATTGTGATTCTCCTGCGTTCCTCGTTCCCTTCCGTAGGCAATCGTGACATGAAGAAAGATGCATAAAGTGTATCAAGGTTTTGCAGGAATTTCCTGAAAGCCAGTCATTTTCTGAAAAATATGACACCTTACACTTGAAGATACCACATTGTGTTATAATTTTATACTCAAAAAACCAAAAAGTGATATTGATTTTATATAACAGTTCAATAAACAATAAGTTAATATTAAGAGACTTACGTTTTAGACACCACATTAGCAGTTTTTTGCTCTATTTTGCAAACAAATAAACATTCCAAACACAGCCACTGCACTGTTTTGCGTCTCTGAGCAACATGACGGTGTTTCGTTCCTGACTAGATGTGCCCCAGAGACAGATCCCCTGCAAAGAGCTCATCACCTCGACCACCATCGGCACAAGACGACGGGGAAACATACAAGTCCTCTGCACCTGTGTTGCAGCCTGGAATTAAACCACGCCATTCTGGTTTTGTCTGGCCAGGGGAGAACTTGTTTTTGTTCCTTGCCACTGTCGGCTTTGGCTTGCTTAGTTGGGGACGCTTGACTGATTGCACAAACATTATTGGAAGAGATCTGAACTGGATGATGACATCACTGAATCATCAATGAACTGACTTTAGCTGGAAAAATGACTCTTTGTTATTGTCTTCTTGCATTATTGACCAACTTATTTTCCTGTTTGACACTGTAAAGCTGCTTTGACACAACCAGTATTGCATAAAGTGCTATACAAATAAAGGTGACTTGACTTTACTTGACTTGACGTGCCCACTGTTGGTGCTTTTGGCGGTGGACAGGGGTCAGCATGGGCACCCTGACTGGTCTGCAGCTATGCAGCCCCATACGCAACAAACTGTGATGCACTGTGTATTCTGACATCTTTCTATCAGAACCAGCAATAACTTCTTGAGCAATTTGAGCTACAGTACCTTGTCTGTTGGACCGGACAACACGGTCCAGCCTTCACTCCCCACTTGCATCAATGAGCCTTGGCCATCCATGACCCTTACACCGTTTCACCACTGTTCCTTCCTTGGACCACTTTTAGTAGAAACTGACCACTGCAGACCGGGAACACCCCACAAGAGCTGCAGTTTTGTATATGCTCCAACCCAGTCGTCTAGCCATCACAATTTGGCCCTTGTCAAACTCACTAAAATCCTTATGCTTGTCCATTTTTCCTGCTTCTAACACTTCAGTTTTGAGGACAAAATGTTGCTGCCTAATATATCCCACCCACAAACAGGTGTGATGAAGAGATAATAAGTATTATTCACTTCACCTGTCAGTGGTATGTATATATATATATATATATATATACAGGGATTGAACAAAGAATGTGTGAATAAACTCAATATATCTAAATATTTACAAAAGACACCCTTTCAACATGAAACCAAGAAATGAGACCTACACTTTCCCTGCTTCTCCCCACAGCTTCTCAAATGTTTGTATCTCCCAGGATACATTGCCACTTTTAGGGTAAAGGATACCGTGGACAGCTGACTCCTAAAGTTTTTAAAATAACGTTATTTCATATTCTGTGTAGTCAGTTCACAGCAGTGATATAAATTAATATTTTCCAATAAGTTTAAATTTTAAGTTAATTTTTACCTTTTATGGGCATTTTTTACTTTATGAAGCCATTTTTTCTAAAAGTGTGCATCATCTTTTGAGTCAAATTCTTACATTTAATCAGTCAATTATAATAATACATGTAGGCTGTTACTAAACAAATGAAATCAGTATCATCAAAATTAATCTTTGCAGAAGTTGCATATGAAGTGGCATTTAGATATATTTACACGTTAATGCAGCTTAGAGGGACATGGAATGCTTTAACCTGCAGTTAGAAATGCATAAATAATTTATTGATATTTTAAACATGAAATGTTGAATACTGATATTTGAAATTATTTAAAAAATTAAGATACTTTAAATGTAAAATTAAAACCGCCAGTAGGTGGCAGCAAGTCACTGTTAATAAGTGATTAATTGTGATTGAACCAAATCATTTAAACAGTTGATTAATTCAGGAACGAAACACCGTCATGTTGCTCAGAGACGCAAAACAGTGCAGTGGCTGTGTTTGGAATGTTTTTTTGTTTGCAAAATAGAGCAAAAACAGCTAATATGGTGTCTAAAACATAAGTCTCTTAATATTAACTTATTGTTTATTGAATCAATTATTATTATATAAAATCAATATAACATTTGTAACCATGCTGATTTAAAAAAAAAAAAAATGTCACTCCCCTTATCTTGAATTATGTGATCATTCTTAATGCATATTAACACACTGAATCATGCAGTGAAAGAACACACTCTAAATGCACATGCGCACAAGTTTAGTCGCTTATGCATGCACTCTGTAGGTGTGTTTTGTTTGGTTTTTGCAATATACTCCATAATGTCATGATGTCTCACGAGTTCAGTATTTGCGCTAAAACTGCGCAGATTTCGCTTGCATGAACTTCCCCAAGAAATTAATGAGTGAACATAACTTATGAAAAGTAACCCGCCAAATTGGCTAGTGATTTGACAGCGTTACAAGCCACAGCTGATTTTTACCTATTTGGCAGGTTGGTGGGTGTTAATTTCAAACCCTAAATATATATTTATATATATATATATATATATATATTAGGGCTGGTAATTTAACGTGTTAATTAGATTAATTCGTTACGGAGAAAAATAACGCATTAAAATTATTAACGCATTTAACACACTTGCCCCGCCCCAGATCTACGTGGGTCATCTGTCATTTCATACAGTTGATTGATGACAAATATGAGGCAGGGCAACAACTCACTGCATAATGGAGCCTAGAGAACGTAGTTATAATGTCTCTAAAATTCAAGATATATTTGAGTAGATATGGGGCAAAAAGGCCCCTGTTTGAGTTTTTGTCTAATATTTACATCATATAGTTAAAGCAGTATCACACGAGCAATAGGCTAAGTGCAATATCACACGAATGCAGATGTGATACTGATCGTATACAACAGTTCAGTAAGTAAGAAGTTAATAGTGTGTTATTTTAGACACAATGTTGTCTGTTTTGCTCAATATTGCCAACGAAAATATAAAGACAAAGCAGAACTGTTCGCCTCCGAGCAACACACAGCAGCATTTAATTTCTTAATGCACGTTTCGAACGAATTGGGTGAACCATTTGGCGCATTGGATTTGAAGCGGTGCTGCACAGACCAATCGGTGTATGACATCAAAGTACCCCGAGAGCGATTCAAAAGCATAAGGAGCCGTTTGTTCTCTATAGCTCCTTCGGTTGATGTCACACACCGATCGGTCTGATGATGATGATCTGCTTCAAGTCGAACAAGCCTAATGATTCAATTAACTATTCATAAAGAACCATTTACTTCACTCCTGAATGAATCAAATGAATGAATAAATGACTCGAAGACTTAATCATTAAGTCATTTACCACCACCTACTGGCAGTTTTAGTTTATTATTTAGCAGTGGCGTAACTTTGCTTTGAAAAGTGGTGGGGACACCGCGCAACTTGTTTTGCTAGTTTTTTATTTAATAACCTAATTTACTTGGGGACTGGGTTTAGAGTTGGACAAACTTAATTTTTGCTTTTCAGGGCAATTCAGGGCTCCAGACTCATTCTTCCCACTGGTCGCTCTCTTGCGATTAACTTTCTCAGTTGGTTGCACGAGCATTGTTTTTTTTTGCACTACAACATGCTATTAATTAATGCATGCTGATGAACTTTTATAATAGTTTATAGTTATATGGAAACGAAAGTAGTTAACATTCAACCCGTCCTTTTTCATCAGTAGTATTATTTGTGATTTGAATTTTGTGAACTGGAGTTCCTCTTTTGCCATGTTATAAGCCGGGCTTCAGATGCTTTCACTTTCGATTTCACGATCTTGTCAGGTTTTACAATACTTTTACTTGACTTAAGCGTGAAAACCATCAATATTCGCGTCATTTTTGCTGAGCACACCTTCTGCAATTAATAGTAAATATAACCAAAATTATAATTTTTATATGAATAATAAAATAAATATAAGGAAAACGTCTCAGGTTACTTATGTAACCATGGTTCCCTGAGTAGGGAACGAGACACTGCGTCCTCTAGG